GACGCTTATTTCTGAATTGTGCTTCAAAATGTTTGTGTCTATGTATTTCTTGAGTTTTATTGTTACACCTAATTTGAACAAGGAACTCTAAAGACTATCATTGAAAATATGAATAAAAATAATAGCACTGTATTGTTTAATACTTTTACAATTTATTTTTCTATGTGAAAATATCAAACTAATGGTCAGATCCATTACGAAATATTCTGCTGAAAATAAAGAATCAAAGGTCTTCCCTATTCTCATAAGAAAAGTTGTGGAAACTTTCTGAATCTTCTTGCATTTCCCTGTTACCTTATTGCCTGATTGTCATTCTGCTTGGATTGTTGTGAGTCTTGCAATTCCATTTATTCAATAAACTCTGTTTATTGAACTTTCTTCATGATACTGGACTTTGTTTTTGGATTATCCCTGGACTGATTGTTTTGAATACTAACTGCCTTAACCGTGTATGATTTGGACTGTTTGTTGGACTTTGTTTACCCATTTACAAGAAGTAAAACCTACATTTTACTATTCAATGTATCTGTGTACTGGTTGTGTGTTATTCATCACCACTCTCACTACATTTCCCTGAGTGCACTCATTCTCCTAATGGGGGATACCTCAACACTGGTTATGGCTCAGGTTCAGATAACTGAGAGTTAGTGTGGATACACAGTACCGTATACAGACAGCTGTTTACTGTTTAATTGTGGGTTACTATCCTGGAAAAGATGGCATAAGACCCTTCAACAAGTCTCTTACTGATAACCCAGTTGGATGGAACAAACTATGTTTCCTGGTCTATGAAGTGCAGTGTACTTCTGCATAGGGAAGGGTTATGGGCTGCAGTTCAGGATCCACTGGATGTAAATGCTTGGATTCCAAATAATGAGGACGATGCCAAAAAGTTAGCTGACTTTAAATGGAACAATGAACGAGCTCTTTGTATAATTGGACTAACTCTGAGTGACAGCAGCTAGTCCATATTCATGGAGAAGAGTCTGCTGCTAGGTGTTGGGAGAATTTGAAGAGGATTTATGTTCGTGACAGTGTAGGTGCACACATACATCTTACACGTAAACTGTTTAGAGCATGTCTTCTGAAAGGTGGAGATATGTTAGCTCATTTGAACTTCATGAAAAGAACTTTTCAAGAGCTACATGAAAAGGAACTGCTTTTTTCAGAGCTGCATCAGGTTTACATCATTCTTTCCTCATTGGATGAAAGTTATGATGATTACGTATCTTTATTTATTTATTTATTTTATTTATTTTTGGGTCAATTGCTTACAAGATAATAGGTATAAGTAAAACATAGTTATCTTCACTGGAAATCCTGACCAGAAATGAACCGACGTTGACTGACATAACTGGATGATTGTTAGAAGAGGCAAGAAGAAGGCTGGAAAGAAACCAACTGAGAGAGAAACAACCATAAGAAGAAGATATGTTTTCAACTGCCTATACTGTTAGGAAATGTTTTTCTTGTGGGGCTAAGGGACATATAGCTAGATTCTGTAAGAAAGGAAAAAGACAGAATACTGGTAATCACCAGAAGACTAAGAAGAATGTTAATTTAGCTATGTCTAGCAATTCAACTGTAACCCATGATTTGTGGGTAGTTGATAGTGGAGCATCGCAGTGCATTACTAGAAATAGAGGGAGATTTGTAAAGATGTCCATGAGTAAGCAACATGTGAAGGTACTGCATATTGTTCATGTGTAAATGAGCATTTAACTATGTTATATGTACCTAAACTGAAATTTAATTTGTTATCAGTAAGGGCTTCAGTTAATTTTAGTTATGTAGTAACTTTTAAGGGAGATAACTGTATAATAGAGAAAGAGGGTAAAAGTGTTACTGCTACTTTAGAGAATGATTTATATGTTATACATGATGACCAGTTGCAGATGGCTAACTCATTGTTTATAACAATGTTAAGCCACAAGACGAATGTACATTTACTGCATAGACATCTGGGGCACATTAATTTCAAAATGCTGAAACAAACTGTCAAATTGTCAGAGGGAGTAAAATTAAAAGTTTGTAGCAAGTACTTAAACTGTAATGCCTGTAACCAGGAGAAAAACAAGGTTACTCCAGCAAACAGACTGAATGGGGTTAAGACCAAAGAACCTTTAGAGGTTGTGTTTGCTGACATAATTGGTCCCATGAAACCCAGTTTGGGAGGTGCCTGCTATGTTTTGAGTATAATGGATCATTACTCACGATACGGTTTCTGCTATCTTATGAAAAATAAAACAGAAACATTCCAACATTTCTTTAATTATCTAAGGTTTGCAGAAAGAAAAAAAGAAACATAAGGTAATTACTTTAGTAACAGATAACAGGACTGAGTTTATTAACAATAGATTCCAAACGATGTTAAAATTGGCTGGTATCGAGCATAAACGTTCTGCACCTTACAGGTCACAACATAACTCATTTATAGAATGAAGAGGGCAAATGTTACAAGCCATGGCTCATACTATGTTATCTGATTCAGTTTTGTCTGAAACATTGTGGGGTGAAGCAATAATGTGTAGCAACCATGTGTTAAATAATGTGGTGAACACAACAACTGGTGAATTGCCATTCACTCGTTGGCATGGCAAAAAGCCAAATGTAAGTTATCTACACACATTTGGAGCTCCAGCATGGGTGCATATTCCCTCACAAGTAAGACTGAAAGGGCAACATAGAGCTAGGAAATTATTTTTCATAGGTTACAAGGCCAACCATAGATCATTTAGATTTTGGGATCGAGGCACAACTAATATTTACTGTACTGCTAGTGCTAAATTTCTTGAGCACATTGGGTGGAATAAACTAGAACAGGAATCTAAAAATGATGTAGTTATTGACACCCAAGTAGTTCCTAATGATGAGATTGTTAAACCATCAATAGCCATTAAAGAGGAAAAACAGGCACAGGAGGAAGTAGAAGAACAGGAACAGGTGGAACAGGTGAGTCCACCAGTAAGCCCTGAGTTACCTAGATGTTCAACCCATGTAACATGACCACCAGATAGATATCAGGCGAGTATAGTATGCCAAGTAAATACAGTTCCTACCAACTATAATGAACTGAAACTGTATCCTGCTAAGGATCAGGCTGCTTGGCAGGAAGTAATGGATAAGGAACTGAAATCTTTACAAAGGTTGGAGGTATATGAAAATGTCAGGTTACCACCAGGTAAGCATGCCATAGGGTGTAAGTGGATTTATAAACTTAAGACAGGTGTAGATGGGACTGTTATCCATAAAGCCAGGTTGATCAGTCAGCCAACGACTACGATGAGGTGTTTGCACCTAGTCTGAAGGCTACCACATTATGAGCAGCATTAGTGTGGGCAGCTAAAAAAAAAAATACACAATAAACCATTTAGATGTGGAGACGGCATATCTTCATGCACCTTTGAACATACTATATATTTAAAGAAGACTTTGGTTATAAAGAACTGATAATAACACTGATTGCTGGAAATTGGAAAAAGAGTCTTTATGGCTTGAAGCAATCAGGCTATTAATGGAACCAGTGCATAGTGAAGGAATTAACAAAGATAAGTTTTGTAGCTGGCATGGCTGATCCATGTTTATTTTAAAAAGAAAGTGATGGTGTAATTTCATTGTTGCTATTGTTCACTGATGACATGGCATTAATCACTAAGACTGAGCAAGAAGCTACTGGGATTATTTCACTGTTAGAGAAGAAATTTAAAATAAAACATTTAGGAGAGATTAAACAGTATCTTGGTTTAAAAATAGATAAAACTAGGGGAGGATACAAAATCTCACAGGCAGATAAAATTAACCAGTTACTAAAGAATTTTAAAATGGAACTTTGTAAACCGGCTAAAACACCAATGAGCCAGGAGTTTAGCCACAAAGTCCTGTTTTTGATAAAGATATTTATCAATCTTTAATTGGTAGCTTATCTTATCTTAGTAATTGGTCTAGGCCAGATATAGCATATAGTATTGAACGATTAGCCAGGTTTAATGCTGAGCCTACCAAAAGGCACTGGCAAGCTGCTAAGCATGTGTTGAGAACTTTGTTTTTTGATTATCCCTGGACTGATTGTTTTGAATACTAACTGCTTTAACCATGTATGATTTGGACTGTTTGTTGGACTTTGTCTACTCATTTACAGGAAGTAAAACCTACATTTTACTATTCAGTGTATCTGTGCACGGGTTGTGTATTATTCATCACCACTCTCACTATGTTTCCCTGAGTGCACTCATTCTCCTAACGGGGAATACCTCAACACACACACAGCACAAAGATTGTCAAACCTGCTAACTCTTCCTCAGTTCCTTTTTTCTATAACCCAGCACTTCTCTAAAAGTGCTGTTTGTAAATTAACAAGCTCACTTCTACGATCTTGGTTAGTTTATTAAAACCCTCCAGCTGGATGACTCTGAGGCCCTTCAATGACAACATACTAGCCTTTTTTTTTTGTCTCCTAAGGGTTCCTAAGTGAGCTAGGCCACAATATGTAACATATTATCCATTGTATAATTTCTCACTCTCTTGTAATCTCTTCCTCTTCAATGAATGTAAAAGCAAATATAAGTTCTCTTCTTGCTAAGTATCCTAGCTGGGATGAGCATTCCAAAGGGTAGGGGAGTGGTATAAAATGTATACATGTAGTCTTTCTAAGTGATTTCCTGGTTTCATAAACATTCACAATTACAAAACTAATGAAGAAAGGAATTTTGCAACCAATCCCTGCATAGACTTTACAGATGTGTAGAGCAATAAAAGCTGAAGTAACATTGAAAACACAGTTGTTTCACTAAATAACTGAGTGGCCAGTTCCTATTCTGTCCACTCAGTGATAACCTGTATTAATTTTTTTAATCAGTTCTGTTAATTACTTGGAGTTTTTGCCATTTGCATCAAAATTTTAATAGGAAATAGTGTAAAAAATTTCAGGTATTTTTAAAATAAGTTAATGTGCCCTAGAAAGATGCATGGAAATATGGAAATAGACTTTTTAGTTTGGATTATTAATATTTTCTCCTTATTAGCTGTTCCCTATTGTTTAGTTCTGGCCTAATAATGATTATATAGCATTTGGGGAAATAAATGCAGGCCAGCAATCCAGCACTAGAGGCCAAAATGGAAAAAACCTCCACAGCCACCATATATTTGCCTTTGGTGCTCAGGTAGGATGGAACAAAAGAGAGCCACACACTGCAGAAGATCAGCATGCTGAATGTAAGACATTTGGCCTCATTGAAACTACTAGGGAGATTTCTGGAGAAAAAAGCTACTGTGAAACTAGCAGCCGCCAGAAAGCCCATGTATCCCAGGACACAGTAGAACATGATAGATGAGCCTTCACTGCACTGTAGAATTATTTCCTCTATTTCTGACTGAGTGTCCAGGTCAGGAAAAGGAGGAAATGTGAACAGCCACACCATACAGATACCTATTTGAATCAAGGAACCAGAAAGAACAATGGAGATGGCCAGTCTTCTTCCTACCCAGTTCTGCATCCTTGATCCTGGCTTGGTGGCTATGAATGCCAGAACCACAGTGATGGTTTTTGCCAACACAGAAGACACCGCCATTGAGAAGATGATGCCAAAACTAATTTGTCGTAGAAAGCATATTATATTACCTGGTATAATAAGGAACTGCAGTGAGCAAAGAAAGCAGAGGAGGAGGGAGATGAGTAGAAGGTAGGAGAGATTTCTGTTATTGGCTTTAACTATGGGAGTATGGTGATACTTCAAAAATGTTCTGAGCACCATAATTGTGCAGAGAGAAAAGAAAAGTACCAAAACAACCATGCTTATTCCCATTGGTTCTTCAAAAGACAAGAAAGTTATTTTCTTAAGAATACATGAAGTTTGGTTCTTATTTGGATATTGATCTTCTGGGCATTTCAAACAGTCATCCATGTCTAGAATTAAAATATATAAATTTACATATGTTGTATACTTATACTGTACTTCATATCATATATATATATATACACACACACACACACACACACACACACAGAGAGAGAGAGAGAGAGAGAGAGAGAGAGAGAGAGAGAGAGAGATTATTCTATAGTCTTGCAGTTTAACCATTCTATTGAACTAGCCTTCAGAAGTAGTACTCACTCTGACTTCCTAGATTTGACTTTCTACTCTTATATTTGGTATCTAAGGGAGCACAAGAGAACATGAGACTTCTCTGTTAAGGGAAGGAATATTACTTGCTCATGAATTCATTATATTATTTGGGCTATCTCTATATATTTCTCTGGTTTTATTTCTACATTGATTTTCAGTAAGGTTTTCTAAAAGGGGATTATTCAAAATAATATTGATAAAAATAAATGTTTTAGGATTCTCTTTGTATCAGATGATTTAAATTTAATATTCTTCATTTTTTATATGTCTGAAGGAAAAGTAGGAAAGATGTTTCCTATTCTCTTTTTTAAGCAAAAATCCTGATGTTTTCTGAATGAAGTGGAACAGATTTTGTGCAAGTTAGGATCATACATTGTTAAAGTCAAATGTAGAATATAATCCCAAACTAAGAGAAATTGATTGCTTTATAGATAATCCTTATTTAGCAATTGCCTCAAACAGCAATGATCCATAATTATGATGATGACAAAAAGCAACTTTGTGATGAAGGCCCCTATTTATAACCTTTACCTCATTTTTCTCTCAGTCATGTGTTTACATGCCATTACAGCATTCGGTATGCATTAACCTGTACCTGATCATTTTTTCCCTTTCCTCCATTGGAAAGTATAGCAATTGTCTGAATTAGTTTATTGGAAAAACCTCATTCTTGCATAGTTTGCTGCCAGACACTATCAGGGCTCTAACCAATTTAATGTTAAATGCTATTGATTTCTTTGTGACTTATTGCTCACAGTCATCAGTGCACTAGTCAAACAGCTAGCACTAGTGTTCTCTTCTCAAAGTGTATTCTTAATTGTGTATCTGAAATTTTCTTTCAATCACTTATCTCTAATGAATATAAATACAAACAGCAATATTCTTCTTGTTAATAATCCAAGCTCTAGAATGAGTATTCCAAGCAGTGGGGGAATGCAGGAAAAGCACTAAAGGTAGTTTTTGTTTAATGACTACCTTATTGAACAATTATTTGCAGTTATGATGGTAATGAAAAAAGTACCTTTATGATCAGTTATCACAGAGCTTTAAAAATCTGCAGAGAAAAGGAAAGATGAAATAACTTCATAAAGTACTGTTGTGATTTTGCTTAGCGTCTGCTTCACTTAATGACTGGCCACTAAACAAAAATGACCTGTTTTGTATATAATATAATTCAGCTCCTTTCTTCGTGGATTTTCTTGAATTGGCCTGCAGAACCATTGATTAACAATGTCTCTTACCTTTCTGACTTGCCATTTTCTCTTTGGGACATCGAAGACAATCATAGCAGCAAAATGGCTTTGCCTCTTGTTTTTTCTTAAAATAACCAGGGAGGCAACTCTCAGTACACATGGAAATAGGTAGCATCTGGCCAATAAATGAAGGAAGAAAAATGTTAACCTTCAATCATGTATTTGTGGGGGTGATATGATTGACCATGACTGTACAAATAAAGAAAACTGGTGTAATGATTTGGGTTTTTTCAGATAGATGATAGATGATAG